GCTATTTTGTTATTGCAGTTTGGCCAGGGCCGGGTTCTAACCCACCACCCTGGGCATATGGGGCCGGTGTCCTACCCACCGAGCCACAGGCACTGCCCTAGTTTTTCTATTTTAAGTAGAGACAGGGTCTTCTTGCTCAGGCTGGTCTCCAACTCCTGAGCTGATGTGATCTACCTTTCTCGGCCTCCTAGAGTACTAGGGTTATAGGCATGAACTACCACGCCTGACTTATGAAAATGTTTTGAATATTAGGTTTTTTGTTTTAAAGTATTTCAGAATGAACCTTATAAAAAAGAAAAAAAACAGTTGGCTCATCTAGAGTGACAACTAAAAATGATATTGAGAAGTGTTTTCTGTTATGATTACCTACCATTTGATCTAAGTCTGAAAACATTAGTAATAAATCCCCAAATCAATTTTAAAAAACTTGATGTTTTATAAAGAAATGAAAACACTTTGGGAAAAGGGGCAAGACTTGTTTAACAGAAGTAGAGGGGTATAAAGTATGCCCTTTAGGCCAAGTTCAGGTGTGATTCCCCATGTTCCTTGGCCCCCTTAGCACTAGTCTGCCTTGAAGAATGGTGAAAACTGGAGGGAGTCTTTGGACAGCCTCTTTAATGCACACCCTGGCGTGGAGGTGTTCAATGAAGGAAGCTGTTTGATGTCTTTAGCCCTAGAGGGCAAGAAATACGCTCCCACGGGGCAGACAAATAGGGGTTGCCTATTACAGACTCCCAATGTCATAATCTCTCATCCACAAATTCTCTTCCTAGGAATTGATTCCATCTCTGCCTCTTTTAAGATTAAAATGCAGATCATTTTTCATCCTTCAATTTGAACCTCTCCCTGGTCACATGAGCCTGACTGCAGCAGAAATCAGTTCATGTTCTGTTTCATACATGGAAATACTTGTTCGGATTTATTGCTAAGAGTCCTTTTTTAGAGCTGGCATTATAGTATTTTCATGGTTTTTTATTTCCCTGTTCAGTTTAGCAAACACTTAAAGTGAAAGGTAGAGGATGGTGGCAGGGGCAGTGAGGTAGCTGGGGGGCTCACCATTTTTTAAGTGAGGAAACACAGTGAGGTAGGTAAGGGGCACACCATTCTGTAAGTGAGGAAACACAGGATAAATACATAAAAGTTCACAACTTAAAAATAATTTTCATAGTTGCCACTTGGGAAATACTTTTTCTTAGACACTTAATATCAGAACCCCATCTCCACTTTTTCCCCCAGTCAGAGGGTTTAAGAAGGTGAGAAAGTTGGCCCCAGGTAACTCACGGTGACCTGATGTGCCCTGGCTGAAGGATATGTATTTTTTTTTTTTTAACTCACCACTATGCTAATGAGAATTGGCTGAAGGATACTGACAGTTTACTTCAATTTCCTGAGTACTTAGACTTTTTAGAGTTCCAGAAGCTAGGGTTTCCAGGGGAGAACAGGTGGGGCCATGACTCATGCCTATAATTTCAGTACTTTTGGAGGTCAAGGCGGAGGATGGCTTCAAGACCAGCCTGGGCAGCATATAGCAAGATCTTGTCTCCACAAAAAATGCAAATATTAGACAGGCATGATGGTGGGCACCTTTACTCCTAGGTACTTAGGAGGTTGAGCCAGGATGACGACTTGTGCTCGGGAGTTTGAGATCACAGTGAGCTGTGATGATGCCACTGCATTCCAGCCTAGGTGACAGAGCAAGACTACATCTCTTAAAAAAAAAAAACCCAAAAAACCAACAAACAAAAAATACTAAACACCAAAACAAAAAAAAAGGGGAGACTAAGAACCAACTTCCAACTTTAAATTCTTGATGGGAAGAAGTACAGTCTTCAGTGATAGAATATCTGACTTTAGAACTTGTCCTCTTAATAGCACATGACTTTGGATAAGGCTTCAGTTGTCTCATCTGGCATTATAGCCATCTCATTGACAGGTGGGGTTTAGGTGAAGATTGAGATGATGATACAGGTTAATGTATCTGGGCCAGGTATGTCATAGACACTGAATAGATGTTACTGGCCATTAAAAGTTAGGTCTGTACCCAGAAGGTAGTAGCGGTGACATGTTCGGGGTGGCCGTCCCGCCACGGGGCCTCTCATTTTCTTAACACACATAGTTGAGGATTGAATGAGTGTGCTGACAGCCTCACTTTCCTTGGAGGTTTGATGTTTCTTCCAGAGCAATTCTGGTAACGTCAGTCAGTAAGCCCTTCAGTGTAGGGCTCCAAGTGTGCCTTGTAAGTCAAAATGGAA